GTGAATTTGTGTCAGATTCACAAATAGATTTGAGTCCATCAAAACTGCATTTTTGTTAAAATACTGCCCAGCTCTATGTATATTTTCTACTGCAGCATTGCAGATTCCTTTGTTCTTCAGCATTTTCCATTTTAGTGGCTTGAAATTAAAATTTAAGACCAATGGAAACAACTTTTGAACTGTTTATGAGAGTTCTCTGTACTACCCATTTCTAAATATTATCTTTTATTGCTATATTAACTTCATGGGTGCTAACAGGCATTTGTGGTTGTTGGTACTCTTTATTAGGAATGTCAATGTGTAGTCAAGTACCTGTACATGATTAACCAATTAGCCTAGGCTTATAGGTTAATCTTATTGACTTAGATGCAGGCTGCCCTCCCTTCCCCCCTGCCTCTGTTTCAAGCCAGCAAGAGGGAGGGGTCAGGAACCTGTCCCATGGGGAAGTGGCTTTTAAGCCTGTAGCTCACAAGCAATGGATCCTTGGAGCCACCTCCCCCAACATCCTCAGCGCTGCTGCCTCTGGTAGAGAAGCAGCAACGTGGAGGGTGAGGAGGATGCAGGCAGGAGCCAGTACATGCAGGAATCTGGCTTTCAAGCCAGCTCCCTGTGTGTATCTGCTCACACAAGCTGCTCCCTCCCTCCCTCTGTGCTGCTGCCTCTCTGTCTTTTAAGCTGGCTCTTCTCGTGTGCTGGCTTCATGGACTGGCTCCACCTACTACCCCGCTGCTACCTCTCCTATAGAAGCAGCAGCGTAGGGTGGCAGGGGAGAGCTTCTCCGGAGGGGCGTTAGCGGGCTCCTCTGGCAGGGGGCTGCCAGCCCTGCCCCCAAGGTCTATCAAATAGTCATGTAACCGATAATATTTTATGTGGTTACATGACTATTCAATTCATTGCTATCTAACATCTCTACTCTATACACTCTGTTTCACAAGGGCAAAACAGTTTCATGTTCTTGCCCTATATTTATGCTGAAATTGTATTTTAAAACAATATTAACTCCCTGGTTAGACTGAGTCATATAAACTTGATGTTAAGAGGGTGTTGAGTTATTTAGAGAAGATAAAACTTTTTTGAAAATCAGTTATTCATAGGTTATGTATGTAGAGTAGAGTATACTCATATTTTCAGAATGTATTAGACTTTGTGTGTATACTTTTTCAGTTAGTTAGTGACCCTTTACTAGGGACGTTTAAAAGCTCATTCAGCGATCTCTAAAGTAGCTTTTGTGGCATGCTGATGGCTCTTCTGTTGCAAATATGTAGAAAACTGATGTTTGGAGTTGTATGGATTTACATGCACTACTCCTGTGATATGATATCTGATTTGGTACAGTGTTACAATAAGAGAGGTTTTGTAATCATTATTAAATAAATATTTTGCTCTCCTGCTTGGGGATTGCATAGCCACTTAATCTTTATTTGGATCTACAGTAATAGTTCTTGCAAGAAAAAGAGAGATTACTTACCAATAATGGTTTGAATATAATGCTTTTGGAGAGCCCACCTTCCTTCTCCACTTTTTGGAGCAGTTGTTCTGAGTCTTTCAGTTAGCCAAAAGGAGTTGGGACCATGCATACTTTTTGTAGTTTTATCGCCAAACATTTGTTTCTGTGAAGAAGTGGTCATACATACAGTACTGTTCTTCTGGGTATGGTGCAGGTACACAGAATTTTGACAGATGTGAATCTGCAGAAGCAACATAGTCAAGCAACAGTTGCTTACAAATAATCTTTTCCCCTGCTCTCTAATAAGTTAAGCATGAGCTGTTTAAATAAAAGTTCAGTAATATTTTTAGGGAGAAATTAAAACTAGGGGTGTTGAATGATTTAAAAAAAATCATGATTAATTGCAGGATTAAAAATTTAATTGCAATTAATTGTATTATTAATCACACTGTTAAAACAATAACAGAATACAATTTATTTAAATATTTTGGATGTTTTCTACCTTTTCAAGTACATTGATTTTTAATTGCAACCCCAAATATAAAGTGCACACTGCACACTTGTTTTGGTTACAAATATTTGCACTGTAAAAAACAAAATAAATAGTATTTTTCAAATTACCTACCATAAGTACTGTCATGCAGTTTCTTTATCATGAAAGTTGAGCTTACAAATGTAGAATTATGTACAAAAAACCCTGCACTTGAAAACAAAACCATGTAAAACTTTAGAGCCTGTAAGTCCACTCATTCTTATTTCTTGTTCAGCAAATCATTCGGACAAGTTTGTTTACATTTGTAGGTGATAATGCTACCTGATTGTTATTTACAATGTTATCTGAAAGTGAGAATAGGCATTCACATGGCACTGCTGTAGCTAGCATCATAGGATATTTACATGCATATTCACTAAAGATTCATGTTCCTTCGTGTTTCAGCCACCATTCCAGAGGACATATGTCCATGCTTATGATGGGTTCTACTAGATAACAATGTGAACTGATACATGTTTATTTTCATCATCTGAATCAGATGCCACCAGCAGAAGGTAGATTTTTTTTTTCTCGGTGGTTGGGGTTTTCTAGTTTTGGCATCAGATTATTGCTTTTTTACAACTTCAGAAAGCATGCTCCATACCTTGTCCCTCTAAGAATTTGGAATGCACTTCAGATTCTTAAACCTTAGGTTGAGTGCTGTAATGATCTGTAAAAATCTCACATTGGTACCTTTGAATTTGTTAGATTTGCAGTGAAAGTGTTTTTAAAATGAACAATATACTGAGTCGTCATTCAAGAGTACTGTAACATGAAATCTATGGCAGAGTGTGGGTAAAACAGAGCAGGAGACATACAGTTCTCCCCTGAGAAGTTCAGTAACAAATTTAATTAAGAGGTTATTTTTTTAGCTAGCATCATCAGCATGGAAGTATGTCCTCTGGAATGGTGGCCAAAGCAAGAAAGGGCATATCTGGCATGTAAATACCTTGCAACTTCAGCTACGTTCTCACTTTCTGGTGACATTGTCAATAAAAAATCGGCAGCAGCATCTTGCATAAATGTAAACAACCTTGTTTGTCTTGGTAATTGGATTAACAAGAAGTAGTACTGAGCAGATTTGGATCTTTGAAGTTTTGTGATTTTTTTTTTTTTTTTTTAGTGCAGTTATGTAACAAACAATTTACAGCAAAACCTGTGTTATCCGGCAATCCCAGGGATTAGGGTGTGCCGGTAACCTAAAAATTCTGGTTATCTGAGGGGGGGCAGGAGCTGTGCGGGGCCTATGGGAAGGGGCATGGGAGCCGTGCGGAGGCTTGGATGTGGCCTGCTGGGGAAGTCCCAAGCCTT